TAGGAAGAGGAGACCCAGTCCCACCTGCATTGGAATCCTGAAATTCTCCATTGATTTTTATGGGAAGATACACTTAAAAATAGCATCTAGTCCACTTGGGAAGCCCTTTATCACAGTTGCAGGCCCCGCGTGAAACAGCCACCATGGGGAAGCAATGTTAAGCAGCAGCCTTCGCTTCTGTAAGAACAGATCTTAGGGTAAAAGATGAGAGAAACTGAACGTGTCCCATGCTGCTATTTCACACAGAGTAATAGTAAGATGGGACGCGGGTGGTGCTGTGGGTTAAACCACTGAGCCTTTTGGGCTTGCCGATCAGAAGGTCGGCAGTTCGAATCCCTGCGACGAAGTGAGCTCCTGTTGCTCAGTCCCTGCTCCTGCCAACCTAGCAGTTCGAAAGCGTGAAGTGCAAGTAGATAAATAGGTACTGCTCCGGCGGGAAGGTAAACGGCGTTTCCGTGCGCTGCTCTGGTTCGCCAGAAGCGGCTTAGTCATGCTGGCCACATGACCCGGAAGCTGTATGCTGGCTCTCTCGGCCAATAAAGCGAGATGAGCGCAACAACCCCAGAGTCGGCCATGACTGGACCTAATGGTTAGGGGTCCCTTTACCTTTAATAGTAAGATCTTGAAGTGAAAGCCGCCGTGTGTGGTTGAAACATTAAAGTATTATGTTTTTTGCCTTTATCTCTGAGCACCTAGGCTAGAAAAGTTCAAGCACGCATAGCTATGGAGAGGTTTCCTTGCAGTGATCTTACCCAATGTGGGTAATTTAATCTTTAGGCTATAATTTGTTTGCTGTACTCAATTTTGCTGAGCATTCTACTTTATAGTGTATGAAACGTGTTACACAATATATTTATTTTCCCATGCATAGAAGGAAGCTGATCTACCCAAGTGAGAGATAACTTCTGATTATCTGTCTTAACTGGGTAGTTTGTTGCCTTATTTTATTTAACAGATTAAGGCTCAATTCAGCTCCAAAAGATAAGACGCCACTCATCTCTCTTTCACCCCAAAGAGATTAAGGCTCTGACCTTGTAGGTACTCAGTGGGACATATTTTTAGTAGACATGTATAGATAGGTCTGTACTGTAAGTTTCACAAGATAATGAGTAGTGGTTTTAGGCCTGCTCTGTACAGGAATCATATTTCCCAGTGTGTTCCCCACAAGGAATGTGATGGTAAAGCAGCACTCATCATGACTGAACCTCACCCACTTTAATCACCCAGTGATATCAGCTGATTGGCGGAAAATGCCTGCTGACTCAAAATGGATCTGCTGACAAGACAAGATTGGCCTGAGACTAGAGGTTGCCTATCCCATTTTAGAGGAATCTCTAAAGTTATGGAATGACTTCTCATCCAGAACCTGGCCCAAGGCCTTGCCCAGCTACCAAAGGACTCTGCTCCATGTTTTCCCCAAATACCATAACTGTTGAATTCAAGAGTTGCCAGTCCAAGCGGGGGTGGTGGTGGTTGGCATTTATGTTTTATTCCATCTGTTTTATTATTAGTATTTGTTTGTTTGTTTAAAGAAACCATTCACACTTAAATAGCTCAAAGGTAAGTCTTCCAGAAGAAAGTACAATGCAAATATGAGTTCTCCTCTTGTATTGCTGATTCAAATTCAGTGGTCCCTTAAGAGCTAGAACATAGGTTAATTTAATTGCTTGGCTGCATTGCTCAGTTGTATTATTTGTATTCTATATTTTTGCTATGTGAACTGGCTGGGGAATATTGATAGAAGGGAAGATTATGATACAGCAGCCACATACAGTACAAGCATCTGATTCCTCACACAAAGGAAGTCATATGTTGAAGTAAAACACAAGAGTCTCGCTCATGGAAAATCCAGTGAGCTTTGCTCATTGGTGGTGGAATTCTCTGCCTCATGAGACCAGGGCCCTGCAGGATCTGATTTCTTTCCGCAGGGCCTGTAAGACAGAGTTGTTCCGCCTGGCCTTTGGCTTGGAGCCAGTTTGATTCCCTCCCTCCCTCTCTCTTTTTCTTTTCCTTCTCCTCCTGCGATGAGGCTACATTTTAATGTTTCATTATTTTAATGTTGTATTTTAATTTTGTTTTTAAGTTGTATTCATTCAACTTGTTTTTATTATTGCTTGTTAGCCGCCCTGAGCCCAGCCTTGGCTGGGGAGGGTGGGGTAGAAATAAAAATTATTATTATTATTATTATTATTATTATTATTATTATTATTATTATTATGCACATTGTCATTACAATTGTTACGTGAAAGACCAAACCAGATGTTCTGTAAAAAGCGGTCCTGGAGGAGCTTGTGAAGCATCAGGACTGTAGGCCAAATGGAAACTTCCATCCCAATGCCAACAGCAGCTTGGCGAGGGGTGATTGTCCTTGGGACCACAGCAGGGAGGAAAGGTTCAAACTGTCCCTATCCATCCCCTGCAGTCCTGGTCTCCCCAGTCTCTCTGTCTTCCTGTCTCTCTATCTGTCTCTCTCTCTCTCTCTCTCTCACACACACACACACACTCTCTCTCTCCCACCCGCTTTGCTAGGGCCACTTTCCAAGTAAACATAACCATGAAACATTCACACTTCCACAGCTGGTGCATGCAAATTGATGCTTGAAACATATCTTGATCTTCAATATATTCTGGTTTGGGAGCATAACCAGGTGTGAGAGGGAACAAGTCAACATAGAGTTAGGTTTTTTAAAAAAAATTAGAAAATGGAAGATGGAACTGTATTGATTAGATTATTCCTGGATATGTAGAGTGTTAGTTGTTTCTTTTGTTTTACCTGTAAGACAGTGTGTGTCTGGATCCCTTTCCCCACCATACAAGCACCAGTACAGTGGCTTGACAACAAGAGTTAGGATCTAGTAATACAAGACAAGTCTTGTCTCCTGTTGCTCTCATTTGTTTAAGTGTCCACAAGATGGCATTGTTCAGCCATAGAAAAACTATTTACACAGGGGCCCTAAGAAATCCAGAAAATTAGAAATCTTATTTCCTTTTCCTTCCCTTATTCATATTTTAAGAATGGTTTAGTACTGGGCCATCAGTGTGTGGAAATGAAATTTGGGGTCTCTTATCTGTAAGCCATGTTGTATGAGGAATTTGATTTCTTTTCCAAAGTGCTTAGTAAATTTCTAGTGCTATGTATAAATGTGAGCTACTGAGTACATGTGGATGATGCTTTGTTAGCTGGAAGAGCAGTAGGTTGCTACACAGTAGGTTCCTATTAGAAAATATCCACAATCCTATATACCTCTATGTATACCCAGAAGAGAAGTAAGACTCATTGAGTTCAATGGAACTTACTCCCATGTAAGTGAATATAGGGCTGAAATCTTAAGGTCATCTATGTTGTCTCCCAGTGCACCAATAATTTATTTTAGGTCATAGATAAGAATGCATGGTGTTCACTGATTCAGTATCATTGGCTCTGCTCCTTGGCCATGCTGGTAGGGGCTGATGGGAATTGCAATCCACAACATCTGGAGGGCGCCATGTTGGCTACCCATGATTCAGTCAAAAAACAGAAGGGTGAGTGCTTCATAACACTGTGAGACCACATAACACCGGTCTTGAAAGACCCACATTGGCTCCCAGTACGTTTCCGAGCACAATTCAAAGTGTTGGTGCTGACCTTTAAAGCCCTAAACGGCCTTGGTCCAGTGTACCTGAAGGAGCGTCTCCACCTCCATCGTTCTGCCCAGACGCTGAGGTCCAGTGCCGAGGGCCTTCTGGTGGTTCCCTCACTGCAAGAAGCCAAGTTACAGGGAACCAGGCAGAGGGCCTTCTCTGTAGTGGCACCCGCCCTGTGGAACGCCCTCCCACCAGATGTCAAAGAGAACAACAACTACCAGACTATTAGAAGACATCAGAAGGCAGCTCTGTTTAGGGAAGCTTTTAATGTTTGACGGATTATTGTAATTTTATTATTTTGTTGTAAGCCACCCAGATGGGCGGGGTATAAATAATAAAATAATAAATTACTACTACTACTACTACTACATTGCAACCCAGCAGTGTCTATCTCTCAGCAGAATGGACACCAATGGCTGATTTTCCCTTTTTCTGCATGCCTCATATTGGACACAATGCAGTAAAAGTAAAAGGGAGAATATCCAGGCACATGAAGGATGAGATCAGTTTTAAAGGGTTGCATTGTATAAAAGGCCAAGTTAGAGGCTCATGGGGTAAGTGGTCTGTGACTGAGCCACTTATGGTCTCAATCAAGCAAGGCAGAGTCATATCAGCACCTTGGACAGAGCAATGTTTAAGTGTTCTGGCTGGAGCCCTTCCCATTACACTGAACTTGTGTAGGGTCCTATGGTTTGAGGGCAATGGTTCCTGCTCAGCTAAAAAGGCTCATTAGCAATTTTTGGTCAAATCAGTCTCTCAGTCTAGCTCATCTCAAGTTGGTTGTTGTGAGATGAACATTGCAAACCAGTGTGCACAGTGAAAAGTGTGACAGAAACAACAACACCCAGCAGGAACTATAGCAATGTGTTCTTGTTGCACACCACAGTTGTGAATATGAAATGGAGAGTCTCCCATTAGTACAGAGAACTGAAACATATATTTATGAAATGCTTTTATTTAAAGGCTAATAATTGCACAATCAGTATGCTCAGAGCTGATAGAAACCTGATTACAGTCGCCCATGAATCAATTAATTTTGGCATTCTGAAGTGGCGCTCTGCAAGATCAACCAGAGGCAATAGGTGTATCAAAAGTACCAGTGTGCTCACATCTTAATTTTCAAATGGGAATTATGAAGTCCGTCCTGAAGAAAAGAATAAACAAATAATGCCATGAATGACTAAAATAGGTGTAAAATAGGTGTCAAACAGCAGATTTTCCAGACAAATTCAGAAGATTTTGTCTAGACAGATTTTGTTTAGACAAAGGATGTGGAAATCTCACTATCCTAACAGTTTAAATTTATCATGTTAAAATATTGAGGCTGCTGCACTGAGGACAGCATCCCAGGGGCCATAGGATTTTGTCTGACTCACTTTCTACTGGTGGAGAGGTTGACTTTTGGACAGAGAGGTCCTCGTATGACTGACTCTCTAGACCAGCAGCAGAAAGGTCTGCTGTTTGTGCTCTGGTGTTGGAGAAAGAGGGTGTTCTTGGGAAAGTCAGGAGTAGAGTGAGGTAGGATTTGGACTCCAAGTCTTCCCCATTTTCCCGATATGCACGCAAGAGAGGGAAAATTATGCCTGGAGGCAGCATAAGCAAGGTTTGTCAGTGTGAAAGCGAACAAAGGGCAGTCTTCGAGACTGGAACTGAAAAAGAGACACAGAAGCCTATTTTTACTTTCTGCACTGGATCAAGTTCTATGGTGTTGGGAAGCCCCTCTCCTCTGGAAACCAAACAGAGGAGCCAATGTGAGTGAATTAATCCTGAGGACCTCATGTTCACGGAAAACATAATCTACCTCCAGTGACCTGAAGTCCAAGGAAACCAAGCCAAGGGGATATGCTGGCACTCATAAGACCTCTACACACACACACACACACACACACACACACACACACACGTATGTGTGTGTAAGAGAGAAAGAGAGAGAATGTGCATGTACACACATTTACACACATATATGCAAATACCACCCAGTGCATGTATTCTCCCACCCCTTGCAGGCTAACAGCATTTTTACAACAGGTGATTTAGATCAAGGAACAGGACAGGGAAATTGGTGACATGCTCATTCCTCTACTACCATTAGTTCAATCAAAGTCTCTTAATTAAAAGAAGGACTTGCAGTAGATCGTTGCTTTAAAATGATTGTATTAACTTTCCCATAGCAATCTACAAAGATTCAAAAATCAAATCATCTTTAAAAGGACAAAGTACTCAAGGAATACACTTTCATTATACAGCTTTAGGCACCTGGCAAAAATGTTCCTTTTTAACCAGGCCTTTGGTTGATTTGATTGAAATCCTATACCCTTTAAAAATGTTTTTTTTCTGTGGGGTTGTTTTTATTTTGATTGTGTATTTTGTGGTTTTATATTTTAGTTTTATTCTGGGATTCGCCCTGAAACCACCGTGTATAATAATAATAATAGTAGTAGTAGTAGTAGTAGTAGTAAAAATACCTGAGCAGATGACACTGGCATCTTCCTGATGACCACAGTCATGTGTTCCCCAACCTCTGTGAGAACATTGAAGCAGGGAAGATTCACTTCCTGTGCACTCCACATTGTCCAGGAGGATATTGCCCGAGCCTGGACCAAAACGGGCACTTCCTGGTGCTGACTGAGCTGGTTCACATCCAAGCTCTCTGCAGACCACATGTGCATCATTCATGCTCCAAAGATCATCACAGACAGTCCCCCAGGTTCTATCATGATAAACTTCAAGACGACCTTCACACCTGTTTCTTCCATTAACTAATCGCAAGGAATGTTCTTCGGGAGATACAAAATACAGATTTGTTTGTTTGTTGTAAAAATGATACCAATGAATCATTAACCAATCAGGACACACCAAATGTTTATTTAACATGATATCATTGGTGTGAAACATTAAACTGAGCAACATGTTGCTAGGCATATGCCTGACCTGGTATTTGCCAAAGACTGAATTGGTAATATTTGGTTGATTGGGAGTTTATTGTGAGTCCATTGTCGTGGATAGATGACTCCAGAGAGCTGCAATTTCAGAGTGGCTTAAAACTCACTTCCCCTTCCCAGGGCACTTTGTACCTCTGTGAGGAGAATAGGGGTCTCCTAATAACTCTCAGCACCCATGAAAACTACACTTCCCAGGATATGTTGGGGGGGGGACCATGGATGTTCAAAGTGGGATTATATTGCTTTAAACGTACAGTGCAGATGGGGCCTATCTTTCAAACTTTGCATATCAGACTAAATGCAAAATATGAAGGAAATTAATATTTGTTAGTAATAGACTAATTCATTTGCAATTAAAACTTGAGATTATGGTGGATATTTTCTTTAATAATTCTACTACAGTGGTACCTCGGGTTAAGTACTTAATTCGTTCCGGAGGTCCGTTCTTAACCTGAAACTGTTCTTAACCTGAAGCACCACTTTAGCTAATGGGGCCTCCTGCTGCCGCTGCGCTGCCGGAGCACGATTTCTGTTCTTATCCTGAAGCAAAGTTCTTAACCCGAGGTACTATTTCTGGGTTAGCAGAATCTTTAACCTGAAGCACATGTAACCTGAAGTGTATGTAACCCTAGGTACCACTGTATATGTTTCCCAAAGAAGTTTACAAAACTGCTTTTGATCTATTGGCTAGATAACCCAGCCTAGGAGTACCTGAGCAAATGACACTGGCATCTTCAGCATGACCACAGTTATGCGTTCCCCAACCTCTGTGAGAACACTGAAGTAGGGAAGATTCGCTTCCTGTGCACTGTACATCGTCCAGGAGGATGTTGCCTGAGCCTGGACCAAAATGGGCACTTCCTGGTGCTGACTGAGCTGGTCCACATCCAAGCTCTCTGCAGACAACATGTGCATCATTCATGCTCCAAAGATCATCACAGACTGTTCCCCAGCTGCCATTACGATATACCTCAAGGCGACCTTCACATCTGTTGCCTCCATTAACTAATCTCAAGGCAGCTAAATTGGAAATATTTAAATATTTAAAAAGGTATTTATTATTGTCAAACAAGTAAAAAATATGTTGATTATTTCCTTTTCCCACCAATAAGATTAACCCAATTGTACAGTGAAAGTAAATAAAGACTCAATGAACATTAATTGTGCATATTGTACATTTTTCCATTAGATGGCACTGGAGATAGTTCCTTTGAATTAGAGATGATTTACTGCAGCTCTCGACACTGTTCGACTCCAACCCCTATGAGCCCCAGCCAGCATAGTCAGTAGCCAGGGATGATGGGAATTGTAGTTTAACAACAACTAGAAGGCTATACTTTAGCCACCCCTGCTTTAAATACTTACTTCTTTTTTCATGAATTTTTCAGGAAAGTCAGGAAAGTTGAGGGACGTAGCCTGGTAATATCCTACACCTGCAATTCTCTGTTTCCCATTCCTTCTACTGACCAACTGAGCAGAGGCTTTTTGATTCCTGGAACTGGAGTGCAAGAAGCCTTGGTTGCGAGTCAAGGCCCCGTTCCCCGCATTATTGAAGAAAGAAGACACGTGGAAACCAGTATTTTAGGTTAATGGGCTAAAAAAGGCCACGGCTTTATTGGTTACAGAATGTGAGTGGTATTGGCTTAGGTACTGGATCTGAATCAACTATATTTGACTCCTGCCCGCCCTGCAGGAAGTCACAGAAGGTTAACAACCTGTAGGGGGAGCCTGTTGATGCAGATCACCTGGAAGCTCCCCCTAGAGTCACCGGAGGGTTGAGTCATGGCCCTAGCCACCACCTGGGCTTCGGACAGGAACCACAACCACTGGATTCCTTTAATGGAATGCCCTTCAAAGGGGGGGGTGTTAGGTGATGACCACAACCTCCCCTCCAACACACAACACATTTTCCAATGCCTAACCACTAAACTGATCCGTGCAAGCAGGAAGCAAACAGAAGGAGCCCCAGTCCCGCGGCCACTTAAATGCAGCAAACCACACCCCCAAGCCAGCTGGACTGGCTGGCTGAGGGCGTGACACAGGCTGGGGACTCCCTGTGATGCAGGGGGCCTAGACACGCCCCCTGCTGAGCGCAGGAAGGCGAAGCCTGCTCGCAACCCCTTCCCTTTGGGAAGAGGGCCGACCTTCCCACTGAAACATTGTGGGAAGTGAAAGCAACACAGAGAGCACACACACTCTTTAAAAACCACTTAGTGTGCTGCCAGCAGTGTGCCACGGGAACCCCAGTGGGTTTCAACTCCCTTTGGCAAGCCCACTTCACAGAAGATTCCAGGCCCAGGCAGAAGACTGAGGGTGACAACTTTTTGGTCTTTGTGAAGGCAGCTACCAAGAGCTTTTCTTTTAGATTAAATGTCTTGGAACGGGTAGAATTTTGCTAATGCAGCAGGCTAAGGAGTATTTTTCCATTTTGGATTGTTTTAAATATTTCAAAGGTACTATTTTGATGGGTTTTTTGCTTTGCAACACCCATTTCCCCAGAGAAATCTAGACAGATTTAGAGACTGAATTCCTTTAATAAGGACGGCTAGAGTTCTTAAGTAATACCTGAGCAAATGACACTGGCATCTTCATGATGACCACAGTTATGTGTGCCCCAACCTGCGTAAGAACAATGAAGCAGGGAAGTTTCATTTCCTTTGCACTGTACATTGTCCAAGAGGATGTTGCCTGAGCCTTGACCAAAATGGGCACTTCCTGGTGCTGACAGAGCTGGTCCACATCCAAGCTCTCTGCAGACCACATGTGCATGATTCAGGTTCCAAATATCATCACAGACAGTCCCCCAGGTTCTACTGTGATATACTTCAAGACGACCTTCACACTTGGTACTTCCATTAACCAATCGCAAGGGCGTTTCTTTGGGAGATATAAAAAATGCTTTTTTAAACAAGAAATTAAAACTCTACATTGCAAAACTGGTCAAGAGACAGAGATGATTTGATGACTGCACTCTATCCTTTGGGAACTTCCAGATTAGAATATTACAATGTATTCTCTATGAGGAAGCCCATGAAGAGCACTCAGAAATGTCAATCGATTGTATCAACCAGGTTCCTTTTTGGGGGTTACCTTTAGAACTCTGTTCTAAAAAGCTGCATTGGCTTCCAGTTTGTTTCCAGGCCTTACTGAAGGTGTTCACATTAATCTTTAAAATCCTAAAAGACTCTGGCCACAAAACCTGAGACAACACCTCCTTCCCTACAGACTCACCCAGGTGTTAAGATTGCCAGATGGCGCCTCTTGGTAGTTCCACTACCCTCAAAATCTTGGGGTGCTGGTTGCACAACAGAGGGCACTGTCTCTGGTAGCCTCTGTGTTGGGGAATTCCTTCCTTACAGAGGTGTGCCTGCCACCTTCAATATTCAAGTTTCAGCAAGTGGTGAATGTGTGCCTCTTTACCCTGATTTGTATTCTCAGGACCCACCCTATTCCCTTGATTGCATTAGCGAGCTAGATTAGCCCAGCCTAGGAGTACCTGAGCAGATGACACTGGCATCTTCCTGATGACCACAGTCATGTGTTCCCCAACCTCTGTGAGAACACTGAAGCAGGGAAGATTCATTTCCTGTGCACTGCACATTGTCCAGGAGGATGTGGCCTGAGCCTTGACCAAAGCGAGCATTTCCTGGTGCTGACTGAGCTGGTCCACATCCAAGCTCTCTGCAGACAACGTGTGCATGATTCAGGCTCCAAATATCATCACAGACAGTCCCCCAGTCTCTATTATGATACACTTCAAGGCGACCTTCACACCTGTTTCTTCCATTAACTAATCGCAAGGAATGTTCTTTGGAATATGCAAAAAATAAATATTATATAAACAAGACAATGAAAGACTGCATTAGATAACTGGTCGATACAATGGGCACTTAGCACAACTGCATCTTGAGATCTAATGATAAGAAAATGCTTGGTGACTCAGGTGCTTTAGCAAGTGTGTTTTCCAAGTGAATTTCATTGATCCATTTCTGAACAATGCTGCTGGAGGAATCATGAATTACACACAACTGCTTCTTGGGTTTTGATGATATTAAAATGCATTAGGTATCTAAGTGGTTATGTCCCATGACCAAGCACATTCTTATACTAAACTTCAATATTCAGAAATCATTCATTTCTATGTATATTAACAAAGCTACAATTCCATGCTGGTTTAATAATCACTCCACCTTCTCAGGTAACTCAAGGAATCATCACTTTGTGAGGACACTCGTGGTCTCAGCCCTACAGTTCTCAGGATACACACACACACACACACACACACACACACATTACCAAGCACAAACTATGAAGGAAATTGAATTTTATTAATGACAGACTAATTCATGTTTAATTAAAACTGGAAACTATGGTGTATATTTCCTTTAATCATTCCATTCATTATGTTTCCCAAAGGAGTTTACAAAGATTGAAGAACTGCATTTGATCTATTGGCTAGATTAGCCTAGTCTAGAATACCTGAGCAGATGACACTGGCATCTTCGCGATGGTTACAGTTATGTGTTCCCCAATCTGTATGAGAACAACGAAGCAGGGAAGATTCCCTTCCTGTGCACTCCACATTGTCCAGGTGGATGTGGCCTGAGCCTTCACCAAAGTGTGCACTTTCTGGTGCCGAAAGAGCTGGTCCACAACCAATCTCACTGCAGACAACGTGTGCATGATTCAGGCTCCAAATATCATCACAGACAGTCCCCCAGCTTCTGTCATGATATACTTCAAGGCGACCTTCACATCTGTTCCTTCCATTAACTAACCGCAAGTAATGTTCTTTGGGAGATACAAAAAATAAATGTTATATAAACAAGACAAACTCTGCATCGGAAAACTGGTCAACCCAATGGACACTAAACACAACTGAATCTTGGGTTTTGATGATATAAAAATGCTTGGTGACTCAGCTTCTTCTAGCAATTCCATTACCTGAACAGGCAGCCCTGTTCAGGGAAGTTTTTAACGTGTGATATTTTACTGTATTTGTGGTTTTTATGGAAGCCGCCCAGAGTGGCTGGGGAGGCCCAGCCAGATGGGCGGGGTATAAATAATAAATTATTATTATTATTATTATTATTATTATTATTATTATTATTATTATTGCCTTTAAATTTCAAGGTGAAATTTCTGTCCATTTCTGAACAATGTTGCTGGAAGAATCATGAATTACACAAATTACACAAATACTATGTCCCAGGGCCAAGTATAATCTTGTCTTAAACTTCAGTGTTAGGCAATCAAACACCTGTTAAGTGCCGCGGACAAAAGGGACATCCCATTTTTTCCACACAAGATTGCGGTAGTCATTTTGGGCGCTGCACTCTTGCATTGTGCTCCCGCCCAGAAAAAAGAATTTCCCCCCAGGGTGAGAGCAAGTTGTGGGTCACATGACTCACCTGGGAGCACTTCCTGGAAGAAGCACATCCTGGTTTTTGGTCTGAAAACCTTGGGCAGTATGAAATCATTCATATATATATATATATATATATATATATATATATACACACAAAACTACAATTCTATGCTGGTTTAACAGTCAATCTCCCTTTCTCAGGTAACTCAGGGAATTATAGCTTTGTAAGGAGACTAGTGGTCTCAGCACTACAGTTCATAGTTTTTTTTGGGGGGGGGCAGGGAAACATGAATGCTCAAAGTGATATGATACTGCTTTAAATGTGCTGTTCAGATTGGTCCAGCATCTGAAACTTTGTATACCTCATCAAACATGCACTTTGAAGGAAATAAACTTTTATTAATAATAGACCACCTGATTCAAATTTTAATTAAAACTGGAGATTGTGGTGGAAATTTCTTTAATAATTCTACTATATGTTTCCCAAAGGAGTCTACAAAGATTGGAAAACTGCATTTGATCTATTGGGAAGCTAGATTAGCCCAGCCTAGGAATACCTGAGCAGATGACACTGGCATCTTCATGATGACCACAGTTATGTGTGCCCCAACCTGCGTGAGAACACTGTAGCAGGGAAGATTCGCTTCCTGTGCACTCCACATTGTCCAGGAGGATGCTGCCCGAGCCTTGACCAAAACGGGCACTTCCTGGTGCTGACAGAGCTGGTCCACATCCAAGCTCTCTGCAGACCACATGTGCATCATTCATGCTCCAAAGATCATCACAGACAGTCCCCCAGGTTCTATCATGATATACTTCAAGGCGACCTTCACACCTGTTGCTTCCATTAACCAACCGTAAGAGAGGTCCTTTGGGAGGGAGAGAAACTTTTCAATCTGAAGACTAAATTCTGCATTGTGAAACTGTTCAAAGCCATGGACATTAAACACATATTCATCTTGGGATCTGATAGGATGAAATTACTTTGTGACCCAGCTCCTTCTCGCATTGCTGTTACTTGGACTTAACCTCAAATTTCAAAAGGATTTTATAAAACCATTTCCAAACAAAGTTGCTGGAGGAATCATGAATTACACAAACTGCATGAGGTATCTAAGGGATTATGTCCATCACCCAAATATAATTTTATATTAACATTCAAAATTATGAGATGTTTTATTTCTATATATTTCAAACTGTTTGGAGAAAATACATGGATCCCAACATTAAATGAATTTCTTGCTGATCCCTACGAACAAGAAATAAAACTTACCACGCAGTTGAAGACGTCTGGTAGCTGTGAAAAATGATAAAAAGTCATTTCCTTTTAGCACTGATTTTACACACACACACACACACACACACACAAAATCAATAATTAAGTAATTTTTACAGCTGTTGTTATTTAAGGGTTTGCTACATTACTTTGGTTGCTGAGGATACTATTAGAATATGCATGATCCATATCAGTTCAATGAAATCTTCCCTGCAATCTGATTTGGTGCCTGATTTGGTCTCATTGGCCTCCAGGAATAGCTTGAGGACAACCACAATCTGGGAGGCAGTGTCCACATCCCCAACCCCGCCTGCTTCTTCCACAATGGCCCACTGCCCTTCACACTGTGGCAAAAATGCCCAGCAACCCTTCTGCAGGTTTTGAGGAGATCATGGATAGCGAAAGAAGGAGGAAACATGTCACCTAAACCTAGGGCACCCCCCACAATTAGGTGGAATATGTGGGTGATGCGGTGGATGCCCACAAATCCACTTTCATGTGCCATCTTTACCATATTCACTTCCCCATCCACCAATATTTTCCTAATATTTATCATTCTCCACATTTCCACATCAGTTTGCAATGGAAAAAAGGAAAATTCTTAGGGAAATTCACCACTATTTTCCTGCAAATTTCTAATATGCATGCTTGTATTAAACTTTCCCTAATGCACACATTGTTGCAAAGCAACTTCCCCTAAAATAACACATTTCTGTATGCTGTGTGTGTGATTGCTAATATAGGCATTTCTATGCACACACTTATCTAAGTATATGTATTTTTGTATAAAGTACTTGGCTGGAAAATTGCACTCCACGATTTGGAGAAGTTTGAATATAGAAGGATGGTTGCTTTGGTTTGTGTAGTGTTTTGAAAAGTACAAATTAATTAAGTCAGCCTGGATAGCTTAGTTGGTTGGCGCTGTTAGGATATTTCCGTTCCACCTTAAAAAGGGAGCAGGTTGTTGTGTCACAGCCTGTGTATTTCCTGTTCACAGGAAGTTTCTGTTTGTCTATTGCTTTCGTTTTCTCTCTGCGCCTGAGACATCGAAGCAGGCAGTCATGTTCTTTCTTTGTTCTGACCAATGCTGAATAAACTTGTAAATATGCTCTCCTGAGTGCATCTTTCTCTGTACGAACTCTGCTGATAGAGCGTGCACGAGCTCTGGAATGTGGCAAGCTATTTCTGAGGCTTCGTGTCGCTAATTGACTGATACTGTACCTATGGGAGATCGATGGATCGTGCGGAGGCGACGTGGAACCATGATGGCCTTTGTCTCCCTGGCAGTATCCCAACATGCGCTTGGTGCTGATAATGCCAAGGCTGTGGGTTTGATCCACACATGGGACAGCTGCATAATCCTGCATTGCAGGGGGTTGGATCTGATGATCTAAAGACCCCTTCTAACTCTACAATTCTATTATTCTAAATTGGCCTTTAAGGTGAGATTGAATTATTATTATTATTTATTAAATTTATATACCACCCTTCATACGAAGATCTCGGGCCGGTTCACAAGATAAAAATACAAGATAAAAGCACAAATCTATAGAACGAAGACATTGAATCCCCTACCCTATGAGAAAATCAAATTGGTGCAGACTTAATCACAACATGAGGATTGATAATTATTTCCTTTCCTGGATCAAGGTATGTTGAACTAATAAAGTTATCAAGAATGTGAACTTACATGGTCTACTTGGTTCTTTATTGCCTGTAAATAACAAACATGATACACTGTTATATATAGATATAGACATAGATATAGATATTTAATGCCCTAATCCAGATCAGTCAAAACACATGATTCTTCATCTCTAACCAACAACCTTAGCTTTAAGCACATACTCCTCTGCAAGTAAACTGAAGGGGAGGGGAAAGTGGAGTGTATTTAGTTCTCATCACTCTTCCCTCCCTGATGATCAGCGCAGGAAACCTTTCAGATATGGACATGCTCCCAACAGAAAAATAACTTAGTACTGGGACATTAGAAGAAACTGCAAATTTGCTGATACATGGATTTCATCCATGACACCACTGTGTGGGGAATGGCTGCAGTTCAGTGGTAGAGCATCTGCCTTGCTTGCAGAAAATCTGTTTTAATCTCCAGCATCTCCAGGTAGGTCAGGGCAAGTCCACTGTCAGAAACCTTGGGTTGCCACTGCAAGTCAGCATAGACCCTAATGAGCTAGGTGGACCAATGGTCTGACTTGGTATAAGGCAGCTTCCTATGTTCCTATGGACACCTGTCACTTAACCTGAGGATATTTCACTTAGATATAAGCAAGAAAAAAAATGAAAATATTAATCTCATCAGAATCATAAATGCTAAAATTAGAAAGAAGCATTGATTCCTTTACAACTGATCTCCAGTCATTCAGACATTAAACTTACATATATGCATAAAACCATCTTTTTAAAAAGGAAAAAAGAAGAGTATACCTGTGCAGATGACACCAGCATCTTCTACATGGACACAGTTATGGATTTTCCATCCTCTGTGGGAGCACTGCTCAAGAGAAGTTTCATTTCCTCTGCACTGCACATCATCCAGGAGAATATTTCCAGAGCCTTGGCCAAAATGGGCGTTTGTTGTAGCTAACAGAGCCCGGCCACACAGAGCTTGTCCGCAGACCACATGTGCATCATTTATGTCCCAACCATCATCACAGACGCTCCCCCAACTTCCTCTGTGGTATACTTCAAGACGGCCTTCACATCTGTTGGTTCCATTGACCAGTCTCAATACAGCATCTTTGAACCATAAATTAACTTTGTTTTAGAAGCTATGCTTTCTGAACTCAAGGAGAAAAATATTTCTTATCCTAGTTACATTTCACTGCCAGGCCCTAAGGAATCATAAACTCTCTGGAAAAATATAGATATAAACTAAACTATTAATTTACAGTTAATTTACAGGTACTATACTAATGTACATTTTCAGAAGGGTGTGTTGCACACAGTGGGTTGGATTCTAGACTTACCTATCTTACTTGGAATGTGAAATGAAGAGAACTTAAATTAGTCATAGTTGGATTAGTTCCTATTGATTTGAATTGTCTACTTTGACTATGTTTGGTTAAAACCCTCTCTTTTGTACAGCTCCTAAATTTGCAGACAACTCGTATTAGCGATCATTGTTAATTTTTCAGAATTAACATCCTACTTAATTTTGAAGAAGTTAGGTGTTGGAGAGAATAAGATATACAGATATATATTCTGTGGAAACTATGGAATATCATACACCCTGTTGTTGTTGTTTAGTCGTTTAGTCATGTCTGACTCTTTGTGGCCCCATGGACCAGAGCACGCCATCATACACCCTAGCTATCAAATGGTCAAACGCATCATACACCCTAGCTATCAAATTGTTTTAGATAGGTGAATATCTTCTCTCAACTCGGTTTGCACATGGAAATAGAGTATATCCTATGATTCTGATTCTGCTTATACTCATTGAATGGGTGCTATATCTTGAGGTGTCAGACAAATTGACTGGCTGATTGCAAGTTTGTATCTTTGAAATAAAAAGAGACATACTAAGTTCCAGAACAACCCAACTGGTGATTAGTGTAACAGTGGATTTTTCCCAGCCCCCTTCCAACTACGTTCCTCATAACAACTGAATAACTGCTCTTCAGTGTTCAGGAGTAAGATTCAACACAATGCAATGGGGCAGTTTATTGGAAGAGTGGTGGTTATGGAATTCTTTATTATTTTATAATGAATGCTCCCCACATCAAATGGGGGGGGTGCCGTTTGCATGGTCGCGCACAGCCCCCTGGATCCCATGTGGCTCCTGGCAGTACAGGCTGGCTTCGCCCTCCCCAGGCTGGATACCTGGAGATCTCCACCTACCTCAGCCAATTGACCAATCTCACCTGGGGAGGCGTTACCAGGGGATTGGTCAGGTAGGGGGAAGGACCACCCTGCCCACACAACAGAGGGTGGATCTTACCTGGGAATCGTCAGTTGGCTCCACATTTCTAAAATAATAAAAAATAACCTATCCAAACTTGGGATACTAAGCAACTGATAATGTTTTGATAGACAGAATAAAAGAGACTACACTTAGATATAACAAAAAAAATCCTTCCAGTAGCACCTTAAAGACCAACTAAGTTAGTTCTTGGTATGAGCTTTCGTGTGCATGCACACTTCTTCAGATACACATGCATGCACACGAAAGCTCATACCAAGAACTAACTTAGTTGGTCTTTAAGGTGCTACTGGAAGGATTTTTTTTGTTTTGACTATGGCAGACCAACACGGCTACCTATCTGTAACTACACTTAGATATATGTAAGATACATTAACAGGCGAATTGATACACAAATCTAAACCACACATGATAAACAATGTGGATGTGAGAAACACTTATTCCTTTACAACTGATCCCCAGTCATTCAGAAATTAAACAGACATGTAGGAATGAAATGATCCAAATTAAAAAAAGGAAAGAAGAATAGTGCACCTGTGCAAATGACTCCAG